AAACAAGTTCTACTAAAAAAAAAAAGTCTCCAATACACCATTTATCGATCAATTTTAAAAATTATTACATCTGATCAAAATTAAATGAGATTAAAAAATATGCAAAATATAAGTTTCTAATACAAATCAAATATGACAATTAAAACGGTTAAAAAAATAGAACTATCGATAGTTTTATTTTTTTATCCTATTTTGAAAAAACTCAAAAAAAAAACTATAAGGAAAATTCCTTGAAAGAGGTTGGGTTCATGTCTCATTCATAAACTCTATGAAATTTGAGACTTACTAGGACATGTTATCCTATACAATTTTACAATAACCTTTGAAAGTTGACCCAATAGAACATAATAAGATAGGGAGGGTACATTTGTTAAATTACTGTGAATCAAAGTTTAAAGACATAAATTGGTAATGACAATTGATTCACATAAAAGGAAAACGAGGGGAAAGAAAAAAGAGCACATTCATTAATTAAATTGGGGCCGTAAATAAAGAAAAATCAATATTGGTCAAGAAAAAAGATGGTTTCTACATCGTTAATGTGATAATTAAGAGAAAGTGAACCTCCTAATTTATGCTTTCTATGTGTTTTCCTCCACTTTGTTCTAGAACTTTGTATTTGTACCCCTGGCCATTTTTGTATTTTTTTTTTTGGGGACTACTTTACAATAGCAAATTAACAAATCATAAAAACAAGTTCTACTAAAAAAAAAAAGTCTCCAATACACCATTTATCGATATGATCAATTTTAAAAATTATTACATCTGATCAAAATTAAATGAGATTAAAAAATATGTAAAATATAAGTTTCTAATACAAATCAAATATGACAATTAAAACGGTTAAAAAAATAGAACTATCGATAGTTTTATTTTTTTATTCTATTTTGAAAAAACTCAAAAAAAAACTATAAGGAAAAAAAAAAAAAAACTATGGTGTCCTGATAGGAAGAATAAAGTTTTTTCAACGGAAAAAAAAAAAAGAGAAGAATAAAGTTTTTTGTGTTCTTTTATGAAAATTTTAAAATAAAATAAAAAATCAACCGGAAGAAGAGGGAGGCGGATGGTAACCGGAGTGTGGCGGCCATGTCAACGAAGGAAAATGGGAGCCACTTGGCGGATTTTGAGTATTCGGCTGCTGGGCGGACAAGAACAGAGGATGTAAAACAGGGGATGAAGAAGAAGGAACAGAGGAAGACGAGGATGACGAAGAAAACATGAATGGAGATTGCGAAGAAGAAGAAGAAGAAGAAGAAGAAACCATTTGTGAATTGTACAACATCTGCTCTAACAAGCTCGCCGCTGGTTGCTGTTGTTGCTGTTGCTGTTGCTGCTGTTGCTGTTGTTGCTGTTGCTGTTGCTGCTGTTGCTGTTGTTGCTGTTGCTGTTGTTGCTGTTGCTGTTGCTGTTGCTGTTGCTGAAGTTGTAGCTGTAATTGTTGTTGTAGATGTCCGCCGGAGAAGTCCCCGGAGCTCTGGAGCAGCTGTGAGTACTGAAAGTAATCGCGGAGGAGGGCGGCGTCTGAGGAGGAGTCATGAAACGGCGTCGTCTGGAAGAAATTCGGCTGCACAGGCGGCAAAAGGGTGGTCGCCGAAGATTCGCCGGCGGCAGCGGCGATCGGACGAGGCGCCGGGATTGTTCTGACGTTCTCGGGGAAGTTGAGCTTGGCACGGTTTCCACGGAAGCGGAGCGCGGCCTCATCGTAAGCCCTGGCGGCCGCCTCCGCCGTGTCGAAGGTTCCGAGCCAAACCCTCGCCGCCTTGTGGGGGTCGCGAATCTCTGCCGCCCATTTCCCCCACGGCCTCTGCCTCACTCCACGATACCTCCTCCTCCTCTCACCACCGCTCTCTTCCGGTGGAGCAGCCGCCGCCGCCGCCGCCATCTCGCTTGGCGGTGCTGCGGCAGCAACAACGGTGGCAGCTGTTGTACCGGAACTCATGATGTTTGAAGCTTCTTCTGTTGCATGATATAAAATTTTATGTCACCCAAATTGATAAAAGAAAAACAAACACTGCACCGTAGCTTTAAACAAAAAAATCACAAAACTGTTACAAAGTATTATCTCTATTACTATCACAATATAGAGAAACGTACAAAAAAAAAAAAACACGCACACACACACAAAAGACACACAAAAGAATCATGTTAGTGATGAACTGTTTGATTAATAATCTCTATGGTTCTTTTTACTATTTTTAGTAGGTGTAAGCTGGTCTTAAACAGTATCTTACGGTAATAAAATGAAAATGTATAATATTTATCATGTGAAGTAACCTTATAGCTTTAATCATCATTTATGCTAATCCTGAAGTTGACTACATAATAAGTACTTACTTTGATTGTGGAAATGGAAATACTACTAAAGATTAATTAACGTTTAATGCATATATAAAACTTGATAATAAAATAAAAATGGTTTTGGAATGAATTGAAATCAGAAAAATTAATTAATTACCAGTTGCACTAGCTGAGGAGGATTCATCAGGTCTAAAAGGCCTCTGCTGTGGTGCAGAGTCAATAAGAAGCTGAGCTGCAGCGACTGCGGTTTCTTCTTCATCATCACGATTTCTCTTTTGCCCACTAATCCAAGATCCAGAACCAGACGAACAAGGAGAATTTGGAGAATAAAGTTGATGGCCAAAACGACTGTCGTGTGATCCCCAGTTCCCGGCAGTACTACCACTTCCTCTCCGTCCGGAAACGACATGCGTCAGCGCCGAAACAATGGCCGACATCTCCGTCGGGCGGCTGTACCCGGAGAAAATCATCTGCTGCTGCTGCAACGGCGGAGGCAGCGGAGGCTGCTGCGGAACGACGGCGTATTGAGATTGTTGTTGCCTCATCATCATCAGTAATTCTTGTGTTGTGGTGACTGTAGTATTAATTGCTGCGGCGGCCTCAGGTTGTTGATCTTGGACGTCGTCGCTTTGAGGTGGAAACCTGACATCACGGTCATCACCGGAACTCCTCTGGTTCGCCACCTTCAAACACATGTAAATAAATAAAATGAACCTTTTACTTTGTTTTTCTTCAGAAAAACGATTTAATTTCGAGCTTAATCTCAAAACAACGGCTGTCTCTATATATATATGTGTGTGTATATATGATGACTCTTATCTGTGACGATAACTTCATTCAAAATTGTTCAGCCGCTATATCAATAGTTTTCTCTCGCATGCTTCTATTTTGTCATGTACAAATATAAATATCACCGTTTTGCTTATATTTTTATTTTACTTTTTATTTTTATTTTATACTTCGTAAAACATGTATTTTCTGTTTGTTCATATTTTATTTTTATTTTATTTATGATGCCAACAGAATTATAAATCGCCGACCTAAAGTGGATAATTATGTTCACACCGGAAGCTGAAAAAAAAAAAGGCAACAAAAGAGCTTCAAAAGGGGATTTAATTTGTCGGTTGTTTCTTCGCACGAGAAGAGGAAGAGCACTTCATCTTTGAATTGAATTCTGTGCCGACATGTATTTTATGTTGTACGATTTATGAAACCTAAAAAATAAGAATAATCTTGGGTTTTATTTATTTATTTTAATTAGTTCACTGATTTGATCAATTAGCTCAGAATTAGGTAAAGACACATGTTAATATTAGTGATGCATATTGATATACATATTCTATTTCAGTCATATAAAATGGACATGTGCATTATGTGCTTGCTTACCAGATCAAAAGCCTTGTACTGAAATATTGTACATTATGACTATCCAGATAAGCTTTTTGGTAATGTTTGGTATGACTTCTCAACATCATTATATAATTCTTTCAGACGGCAAAGAGAAATATGTAAAACTAACCCACAAGTTTATTTTTGAAAATTAGGTAGAGTGATGATAAAAATCTCCTTCGTAAACAAAGAACATTGTGCAATTCTTTTCATTTTCTAATTGACTCTATTCAATATTGGGGAATAAAATGTAGCACTATGCACATGCAAATATTTTTTAATTACTCCATCTCGTTGATCTTTGCAAAATCCTAAATTTCTTTTATCTTTTATTAATTAGTTAGCTTTTGGAGTTTTAAAAAATAAAATAAGATAAAATCTTAGTCCAAGGATGGGAACTCTTTTGATGATTTGACTATAATATTCTTTTCTTGAAAGTTTTATGATTTGACTATATTATTACATAGTTCAAAGTCTTTGTACATATCTCACTCAAGAGTTTCATTTCAAATCATTAACGTTTAAGTTCCTAGTGTGCTTTACATGTTTGTCGTTTAAGCTAATTTTACAAAGTTTTGTCAAATGTGATCAATGCATATAAAAGAAAATGAAACAAATACTTTTTAATATACATGAATCGTATATTTTTACTTTACATTTGATTAATAGCCTTTAAAATAACGCATTTAAAGGGCGAGTTACTAATTTATTGAGATGTGAGAATTTTTTACTGTAATAAAAAAATTAGATGTGACTGTTTCTGAGAGCTTTTTACTATAACAAAACTCAAATTCTAAACTCGAATCAGCGAAATGAACGGGACCATAATAAGCATAAATAAATTTGGGATTAAAGCTTTGGCAAATTTTTACACTGTTTTTTACATCAAGTGTTATATTATTCGTGTGGTAAAGGTTTTAATGTGTAGACTTCTCCATCGACATATTGACAGACGCAATAAGATTATAAAACGTATCGACTATATACAATAAGCTTTATAATTATAAAGTATTTACTGCACATTATTGCATTTGAGATAACATTACTGACTGTTTATTACACACTGCTTTTTTTTTTTTTTTGTCGCTTCTTTGATTTTAATGTCGACGTCCCTTTTCGCAGGTTCATCGAAGGCGCTCCCCTTGATGGAGAACGACAAAACACTATGAAAACGACAAGGATCACGTACGTTGTGGAAGCCACTCCAAAACAATTATTCAAGAGATGGGCAAAATTCCTTAGCCTCAAAGGGAGAAGAAAATAGATAGTAGAAAGAAAGAATGCCTCCAAAAGAAAAGTATTTATTATTTTGTCTTGTTCTTGTTTGGGCGATCTTAATTTCATTGGTCAAAACACGTCTCTTTGTATGAGACAATCTCTGTGTTGGACCCAAGAAATAATAAAAAATGATAATAATAGAAAATAAAATGGAAAAGAAAAAACCAGACCCGGAACCACAATGAAGCGTTCAAATTCAAGGCACGAGTCAAAGAGAGAGGTTTCGCAGGTGTTTATAGTCTTGTAGATTTAGAATCACGATTTAAAATTATTTTTAATTTATATATATTTTTTATGAGAAAAAATATTATAATAAATTATAAATTATAATTTAAATTATAATACGAATACACCAATCAAACGCCATTCTAACTCGGTCAAATCGTTTTGCCAGTCAGGCCCACGTTAATGAATAGAGATCTTTCTGGGTCCAAACCCATGTTTGGTAGCTGCAAACTAGGGGAAGTGAGAATATGCTCTCATGAGGATAAAAATGGATTATTTAGGTTGGATACCCCTTTTGAAGTATAAATATTACCCCTTTTGAAGTGATAATTATGGAGTTTTTCTGGTATTTCTTCTTTTTTGAGAACATCAATGTTTTTTTGCTTTCTTAACCGTTAAATCTAGTAAAAAGTATACATAACAGATAAATTTTAATACACATTTAATATTTGAAAAACAAGAACCACCGGTGTTTCTAAAAAAAATAAAACACTAGAGATTTCTCCTATATTATTTTTATATGTAATACTATATTCCTCTTATAATTAATCCTCTATGAAATTTTTACTTCAATCACGGCCTATAAAAGTAAAAAATATAATTTTTAATGTAACACTATTGTTGAAAACACATAAAATTTTGTTTTAAACTTTTAGTACTTCTTTTTAACGCTAATTTTACATCGAATAAATGTCACGTTACGCTTTTTATATCTATATGTTATGTAAACATATAAGAATACTTATTTTTCTGAAAAGACCTAGCAAAAAGCCAATTATATTTGTCTGAACTAACAAATTGTTCCGGCAAAGGGAGGGTCTCTGTTCTGGTTGTCCATGTTTGGAGTGACAATTCGGTGGGTAATTTGTCGTGTGATAGTATGATGTGGAAGGATTTGATTCTATGAAGATAAGTTTAATATTAAAGGAGATTTCCATTTCCCACAGAAAAATCAAATCATCAAAATACAAAAGAGGAGATTTGGATGAGGGGGTAATGTCAACGTGGACAGTAGTCAACTACTAATATGAGATACTTAGGACTAGCTAGGGCCTAGTGGTAGTTCGGTACACCTAGGAAGGTCGAATGTGACTCAGTAGGCCTTGGAAATCTCTTACAACTTCCAACTTTTTCTTCTTCTTTTTTTTTTTTGGATTTTTTCCGGTAAATGTTTCTATTAACATTGTGAGTTTTGACGGTTAAATCTGATCCAAATTAAATCATATTAAAAAAATATATAAAATTAATAATATTTAATATAAATTTAACTATTAAATAGTATACAATTATCGGTATTTTATTTTTTTAGTCTACCAGAAAAACCCCATTTTTATTTTTTTGTTTTTTTGTTTTAATGATGCCCCACCAAAAGTAAACTTTATATCAAGACAGACTAGAATTTATGAGTCCGTTTATTTTATATATTTAAACTCAAAAAATTAATTTCACTGCAGTATTTTTCTTTCATAAAAAACTTGAATTTTAAACGTCAAAATAAAGAATCATAAGTATACCTTCTAAAAGGGCTTTAATAAGACAAACAAAATTGCAAACTAAATGCTAAATGAAAAATGACTAAATAAATGAAAAGAAAATATGGGACAAAAAAGAAATCAATGTCAAGAAGTTGAGCCAAAATTGATTCAATCTCATGTCACATGTCTTATATCAGGTTAAATTTTATAAAATTTAATGAACAGTGAGTGTTCTTTTTTGAAGGGAACAAATTCCTTCATTAATGAATAGGCTTTAGATCAGTCACAAAGAATGTTCTGAAGTAATTTTTTTTTTTAGAGAAAAACATTTTTTATACGGTGTTCTAATTTTTTTTATCTTCCTTTCTTTTGACTTTTGGGATATACTAGTTGAAGTCAGTATTAAAAATGCATTTATCGTGTTATATTTTTTTAATATAGAGATTTAAATTTTTTTCATAAACTTCATATTTTTTAATTTATTATTTCTTAAGGGTTTGGTTTTGAAAAAATTAAAAAATAAAAAATAAATAGGAAAAAATAAAAAATAAATCATAAAAATGTATTAAAAACAAGAAAAGAAAAAAAAAATGATGCAATGTGTCAAAAAAAAAAAGAGAAACCTTTTGTTAATGACTCGAGTCAAAAAGAATGAAAAGGCTTTTGGCTCCTTTATGTATGTAAAGATTAATTAATATATTTTTAAATGCAATTCCCATCCATCCCAAAGTTCAAAACCTCACGAATTACTAGTTCTATAGTTTTATATCATGACACGTGTTGGATGAATTATGGCAAATGCTCGAACATAATTGTCCGTATGTGCTACATAACATAGATAAGGAAGACAGAAAAAGGATTAATTTTGGTAAGAATAATTAATTAAAAGCTAATGTCACCGTTAAGAGTAGTTACTTTAATGCAACAAGTAAACTAATATCTCTACTTTTACTAATATGTTGGTGACGAGACAATGATATGTTAAAAAGATAAGGATAGTTAAACATTCATATCTTGTTATGTACGATGTAGAAGTATAACCTAAAAAAAAAATAAAAAAAAATAAGAAGAAGAAAATTAGTGTGACCCATTTTACTATTTATAACAATGCCACTTGCTCATGATCACGGCATGGATTTAGGATTTAAGTGATGACAACTGATAGTAACTAAGTATATCTTGTTCATTACCATTTGACAACTAACTAATGAGATAGCTAACAATTATTAAAAAAATAAAATTAAAAATTAAAAACTAAAGAGATGGATAAGCGTAGAGAACACAAAGAATATATATATATATATATATATATATATATTGGATAAGCGTAGATAACAAAAAGAATATATATATTTTGGATAAGCTTAGATAACAAAAAGAATATATATATATATATATATATATTGCTATCTCTTTAGTTTTTAATTTTAATTTTAATTTTTTTAATAATTGTTAGCTATCTCATTAGGTGAAATAAGTTAGTGCCTTTCCTATATAATAATACAAAATATTA